GACGTAAGCTGATGTACTTAGGTGGAAAACTTTTTTATCCCCTCAATGAATATACATTAAGCTTAAGTTGTATCAATATAATATAAAAAAATTATTTATATATTTATTTGTGTAATGTATATACATTATATATAAACAAATGTAACAGTAAGAAATACCTAAAAATGAATTATTAATCTATACAAAACTCAAGCAAGTTTTTAGTTTGATTATTATTAATTTATTAATGAAATAGCAGTATATATACGTGAATGTGCCAATCAGGCTGTACTTATGGTTAAATAATAATTTAAAATAATACAAATAAACGAAGATAAAAAAAAATACAAGTATGAATATTCTCATTTATGGTATACATTTATTACCTGGGAACTACTTATGAATTTCCAATCGTTAAGCCATTATAAGTCGATTCGTAAAATTGTGCATCCTTGTGTATTGTCATAATTTTCTTACCATATTCAATGAGAATAAATCATTTCGAAGGAAAAACATATTTTGTTATAATATACGGTCGTAAAATAAAACACGTTGAGCACCCACTGGTCTTGTATAAGCGTACACGCATACAGCTGACGACACAGGATACGGATTAATGTTCCTCGTAAAATTGCCTTCTATTTTACCGTTTCGCGAGATTTGATAAAGGCAAGCAAAAACAACAAGAGCAGTAAGTATAGGCTGGGAATTGGAAGAAAAATTATAAATAAATAATGAGCAAACGCGTAATAGAAATACTATAATAAATTGACGACAACGTGTATTATTTTTGTATGCAGGATGGGTATACGTCCAATCGTGCGCATCTACATTTATTTTTTTACTGCCGTTTAAATATTTAATCTCGATTCGATAATATACCGAAAACGACAGACTAATTACAAATTATTTTTATTCAACATTCGACGTATTGTGTTAATATTGTAAAAACCCAAGTTTTCTTAGAATTTAGTTTACAATCATTATTATTAGTCTTGATAATTATAATTTATAAGATAACAAGTGTAAATCGTTTTTCATAAAATACTTTACAAAAATATTATAGTACTTATGGACGTTGTTAGTTTTGTTTTATTTTTGAGTGATGTTGAAAAAATACAATATCATTAAAATCCATAAGACCGTTACCTAATAAAATCATTTATTTTCAATTTGGACTTATACTATTCTACTCATTTCCGTTCGGCAGTCTTAAAAATACCATGCATAATATTAAGGGAGAAGCCAATACGATGAACAGTCTATTCTACCCACCACATCGAGTTGATTTATATACACACACTCACCGCGGTACATGCACCACAATATTATCTAGTTTGTACCTACTTTGTACACATTGCTGAAAATATGCCAAATTGTCTAACTATATATAATAGTATAAAATAAGTTAATTTTGGATATTGTAAAACAACACCGAACTTAGAAGAGTACACAACCTACTGTGTAAACGCGAAACATTTAATCTCATATTACGTGCAAAGACATCGAACACAAAATCAAATTATTGAACATCACGTCGTACCTATATTATATCATTATATATACCCGGTACTTACACAACTACAATATAAAGTGTACACTATACAAACATATGACATATCACATGTATGTATATATCATATACGACGATGGTAAAAAGGGTCCTAAACCTATAGAATTTTCATAAATAAAATATAATTTATATATATAAACATGCACATGTATGTCTTTGGACACGCCTAAATAAAATTGTGTTTGAATTGCCATCAAACGCGCACATACGAATAAACACGTATAAAAATATTATAACGCACAACTACGGTTGTATTATTATTATTTCTGAATGCGAAATTCCCCTCATATCTTAAGTACCCTTCAGTGCTCGTGTAATTCGTATAATTATTATTATACACTAATGATGTTGGGGTTGCACTATTATTCGCGCGGTGGCGGTCATTGTACTACAACTGATCGAATGAAACGGGACGGACGACAGTTGGTTAACAATATTTTATTATGAAAATAAAATTAATAATTAAACGTCTTTTGACGATGGACAACGTGATTAACGAAAACGTTACGGAGAAATAAATCGTGCATGTGCATTATGCACCACCAACACAATATAATGCCAAATAGTATACTTTATAAATTGTAAAACTTAAATTTATATTCGATTGAATAGCATAAAAATATAACGTTATAATAAAATTATAAAAACGTTTCTTTATGTTTTTAAACACTGGAATGGTGGTTTGATAATATAATATATTAATTACATAATTATATATACCTATTGTAAATTAAGGATTTTTTTGAGAATTAGAAAACCAAATACTGCATTGTACTCAACATTATATATATTGAGTATATTTTCTTTAAAATTAATCTTGCTTTTCATGTCACATGAATCAATAAAAACAACACTAGTATACATATAGTGTATCTCTCACTAATCCATTTGTCAAAACATATATAATAAAGACATACTAGTTTTCAAATACTCAAATACATTGTCGCACATAATAAATAAAAACTAATGCCGTCATAATAAATAAATAATATTAATGGTAGATTCATTTTACATTGATTTTCAGTACTTTTAAATAGATGTAAGATTTGAAGTTGAGATGATTTTATATCCACAAAATTGTGTTCGAAAAATGAAAATATTTATTTTTTGTTTTTGTGGGTTTTAATCCAATTAAAATTAAATTATCAATTTTAACATAGTTTATACTATGTAATTAATTTTCTGTTAATTTTTTATATATTTAATATTATCAGATTTAACTCATGTTCTTTGTAACAAATTACGTACAATTAATGAAATACGTCTTGCAGTACTTTAAAACAAAAATGATATTCAATTTTTAAAAGAACATAAAACAAGTTAAAAAATGATGCATAGAATTTTATTTATCATTTGTAGAAAACATATTAATTTAAATTCTACAATATATTAGCATAGAGTATTAAGCATATTAAATTTAATTTTTTCAAATTTATTAGTTCATCAAAAATGAGTTTATATTTGTCATGCTAAGAATTACATAAGTGGTCAAATAATAAAGTAAAATTTAAACAAATTTTTTTTATAAGCGATTATATTTAGTAGAATAACATTGATCTGAGCTAAAATAGTAGCTATAATTTCAAATCCATTTAGTATTCATGTTTAATGATATTTTTATGTATAAAAAAATAAAATGAAGAAGAATAATTATATTTTACACTTTCTAATTAACTATATATTTATAATATTATTCGAAATATGTCCATTAAAAGCCGTTTGTAAATCCTGTAGGTTATTCTGCTGTAAAATTAAATTATGTTTCTTAAACTACAATATCTAAAATTTATCTTAGTAAATTCTAAAATCAAACATTTTTAATAATGTTTAGAATATGAGGATTATTGTTTATTAATACATTCATTAAAATATCATATTATTATAGGGGATACGTATCTATTTATAGTAATAATTAAATTTGAAGTTTATTAAGATTATAAGATTATATTAAATGACATATTATAATCTTCATCGTTTATTTTATAGATTTAATACCTATAACATAATCATAATGCATGAAACAAATAGGTATACCTATTTTATAATTACCTAAATAATATTATCATTTAACTATAATATTTAATCAAATATGTTTTTCATTTATTTATTTATTTATTTTCAAAATCCATTAGTTTGAAGATTAATTTATATTCTATTCATACATTTTACACTTATATTTAAATTTTTTATAAGTTTTAACTAACATTGCAAAAGTAAGCATATAATTATAATGTTTTAATGAATCACATAAATATCTTCTGTATTTTAGAAGAGAATAAAAGAAAATTTTAAAATAAGTGTAAGCCTTACAAGTTTTTACTCCTTAAACTATTATTGTTATTTATTATTATGAAACATTTAATTATTTCTGTAAAAATTATAAACATATACGATAATTGTTAAATAAAATTACCTATTATAAGTGATTATTTTTCTAGAAATACATTACACAAATATTAAAATTAAGTTTGAGCCACTTTTGTACTGACAATTTTGTATTTTACCCATATTTTTATATTGTTAACCTACCTAATATTTCATTTAATAATTCACATTATTTAATATATATTTTGATTCAATTTTATATTGAATAAATACGGTATAAGTAATTAGTAATTAAGTCCATATTAGACTTTATACCATCACAATATGTGAGTCATTTATAAAATACACACCTTAATAAAAGGTTGTATATTTTGATGAAATACTATGCAAAAAATAAATTTTTTAAATATAAAAATCCCCTCTTTAAAAAAGAAAAAAAATTGTTCATTGATAAATATTTGCGGCTTGCTTTGTAGTATTTAAGTTTTTCCAAATACGCTGTGGTTTTATTCTTGCAAGAAACGATGTAAATTATTATAGCCGGACACGCATCTCGTAGGATTTTTAAAATCTACCCCCTTAATAGTTTACGCGGAAAGCCATCAACATTCAAAAGGCATTCTTCGTAAAAGAGGGGAGGGGAAGCGACCAGTTTATAGTGTGGCGATCGTGTGAAAAAGTTTTTATACGACCGAATCGTTTGTATCGGTTAACTCGTAGAATAGAGTAAAAAACTCATTTGAAAGTTTTTATACAGATAAACTTTTACAAAGATTGTGTTTTTTTTTCCGATTTGTTAACATATGTGTATATATAAACATACATTATCATATCGATCTTTCTCCACGCGTGTGTGAGCGTGTCATTAAATACCGTTTACGCAAAAATTCAAACGGTGTTAAATAGGCGTGTAGAAATAATTTATAATAAAAAGTTTGGAAGATCCGTTGAATCGTGCAACATCGCAATAATTAACACAGACCTGGGAGACTTTTGACACCGTCGTCTTCTCATACGTAATTATATTTATATAATACGGAGACGCATCACGGAGAGGCGGCAAACGATAAAACGCTTAATTTTAAAACACGCTTTGGATGACCCCAAGTCAGCATTCACTGACCTTTCTCAAAGTCCGGAGCGCGGCGAAGTCGTCATGACGGCGTGCTGCAGATCTCCGTAGGTCCCGCAGTGAATAACTGTGCAGTGCGAAAACACCGAACTGAACAAAAACGCACACGCACACTCGCGAAACGATTTCAGTTTTGCCGGACGAGGACAAGAAAATTTTCTCTCGGAAAAAAAAACAAAAAAATAAAAATACACATACACACACACGCGCGCGCGCACGAAATAAAGACCGACGAGCGTCGTTTTCAAGCGCTCGGCGCAAATAATGTGACGGCGATAGATAAAAATATTGTAATATTATTATAATACCGTGTGAGGCACGCGACGTTCTCGGCGGCGGGCGAAAATCGCGAACGGACAGACGTGCGAGACCGGCACTCGCGTTCGACGACGGAGTAGGAAATGATTCGATGGCGAGCTTTTTTCCCGCCCGGCCTGCACCACCACGGTGGAATCACGTCGGGCGAGTTTTACGCAACCGGTGGCGCAACGTAGCGGACTTTTCCGGAACCGAGATGACCGCAAACGGTGTGTGACGGCAGTGTACCTATACACCTCACGCACCTCTTTAACCGGTGAATGATAATTATTATTATTATTATTATTATTATTATTATTATAAGTCGCGACTTATCATCATTGTTATTGTAATTGGCGAATCGCTCCCATAATCCGCTTTCACAGTCTCTGGTCCGATAGCGCGACGTCTTCGGCGTCATGAGATTAAAAATATTCCGTCGTCGTATACGACGGACCATTTTTTTTTTTTTTACACCCATCGCATTTACAGTAGGTACCCCTACAATTTATATACGAAAGGATATCTTTTACTTTTACTTCCCGTTTTTTGTGCTCAGATTTACATCTCAAACGGTCATAGGATGCACGGCTATATAAATGTTTGCAGCACTCCGATGATCTGAAATTCAAATGCTTATAAATAATAAAATATTGGTTTATTGGTATCCGATGTTCATGCCGTTCGTGTACATTTTCAATTCGGGAAAGTATTTAATTATTTATTAAATATAATGAAAATATTCAAACAAAAAATCAAATGAAAAAAATCATCTAAAAACTACATGTTCCTACAAAAACAGTCGTACAAAATAATATGTTATAATTTTTTTTTTACTTTTTTTATAATTATTCGTTAAAATCGATAAGTTATATGATAATGTTTTGAATAGTTTTTTTTTGATTTAGTTAATTTATTACTAGTATAAAAAATGTTAAGAAACTATTCATGTCAAATAAAATACATATATGTTATATTTTTTTTCTGAGTATTTTGTAATTAAACATAATATATTGAATTGATAAGCAATACCCATTAAAAAAAATATATCACACAATAAAATCTAATGTTGCTCTAAGTGTACAAAAACACGAAATATATCCAATACCTACCTAATAAGAGTGTACCTACTTTTATAATTATTTTTGTATAAATAAACTTATTCATGAAAATACATGGTCATTACTTATTACTCGTTATACTTAAAAATATTAATATAATTTATAAACATTTCATTAATATACTCTATAAAAAATCTATATAAAAATGTATTTATTGTTTAAATTAGAATAAAAATAAGTAAAAGGTTATTATAAGTAAAAAATGTTTATATCTTTATTTTTGTACTGTGTTTAAAAGACAATTGTCAATTATTTCCATAAGATAAGCCATCAAAATATTTTTTCGAAAATTTTATTATTGATTTCATAGGATATACGTCTACTGGACGATTATTTCAAAGTCTATTAACGTTTTTTAAATATTATTTTTACATAATTTACAGTCAAAATAAAATTAAAATAATTTAAGATATTATATTTTTTATAGTTACTACTTTTTCTGTTTTTTAAGTTTTACATTTTTGAATGACAACTTACATTTTTTTAAATTAATATTTTGAAGCAAAATATTTTTTGGACTATTTTGATACATGAAAATCTAAATTTGTGTGACTTGATAAAAAATTTAAAAAAAACATTTAAATTAAGTGTAATACATCATTAAACCTATATAATTCTTCCTAAAAAAATTTAAACCATTAATTCATTAAATTATTAAAATATATATATATATATTTTAATAAAATAGATTTCTATTCACAGCCCTGGTGTTTTTCTTCTTTGATAGTAAATCTGTAAATTAAATTTATTCTGTTCAACACAATTTATAAAAATAAATTAAACAATTGTTACACAACGATATAAGTATACCTATATCATCGGAGTTACATTGAACAATTAAATTGTTTTTACATTTTTTAACAAAAATTTCCAACGCATTATTATTTTTTTTAACTTCAAAATATTACTTGAAAGCAAAAATAATACCAAAAAAAAAAAAACCCCCAAAAAGTATTAAAATATAAAAAAAATTAATATTAAATTTCATGTATTTGATTATAAATCATATAAATTGAATAAATAGCTGCCATAGCTTTGTTTTAGAACAATAAAGAAAAACAAATGCCTTCAAAATGTAACTTATACAAAATGTAACTTATAATAAAACTTATGTACCTACTACCTATTCGTCCAAATTTTGATTTTTATGTATAGAGATACTCTAAGAAATATTTTAATTCAGAATATAAAATTAAAAATGTATGTTATCATTCAAAAATGTAAAAATCTTAAACAAAAACTAGAATAAAAAAAGTTATTGTTATTTTATTTGATTAAAAATTATGTAAAAAAAATTATTTTCAAAAACATTAAGGTATATTTTAAATGGATATGTGAATGTTATTCTATGTAATTGGGGTACATAAATAATGATATTCAAATAGTTATTCAATTCAATTACCCTTATAGACATACTATAAACTGTATTGAACCATTGAGTCTTAACTACTAACTAATCACATTTATAAACATTATAAAAACAAAAACTACGAAAATACCAGAAATTTGCGTCATTAAATATCTTTCAATAAGTGTCTACTCTTAAGTTAATCATTCTAACAAAAGTTCGTAATTATTACAATTTAAGTATAAGATGACATAAAATCATTTTAAAAAATCCACAGCTAATATTATTGCCACGAAAACAAAAAAGCTCCCTTCAGTGTAAACATAAAACTCCTTATTCTCTTCCTGTGATTTGTCTCCGAAAGGTATATATGCACAGTAATAAAACTAATGTCAAACCATTTTGTCACTCAGATAAATGTTTCCAGTTTGTAATTTGCCACCTTAACTCTTTTTATCGGGAGCACTAGAAATTTATGTACTGTAAAACCCGTATCAAACAACTTAGATCGTTACGTATTCTTTAGGAGATTGCAGTGCTCCCTATTTATTGTTTTTTTTTTTTTATACCAGTCAATTTAATATGTTAGAAGAGCTTGCAGGATCGACAGGGGAATAATCGAAACAAATTTTGACAACCTATCAAATGCAAAATAGCTGTAAAAACCTAAAAAAAAAAATACACAAATTCTTAGGGATTATTTGATCCCAAATATACGTATCTATGTTTTATTAATTCAAAATTTATTAGTTTTTCACATTCAGTAAGAATTTCTGAAACAAATTTTTTTTTTTTTTTTGATGTTCAATCAAACATTTCCTAGTAACTTTATTATAGCTACCATACTGTGTAACAAAATATGACTGATTAGATTTGATTTTATTTAAACTTTTATTAAAACATTTAATATAATTATTTTTACCTGTTCGTAAATTCTATATAATATTAATATTTTTCAATGATGTGTATTTTTTTTTTTTTTGTCTTCGGGAGGTAAATAGAATTTCCAATGTTCCATGTAATCATACAATAAAAAAAAAGTTAGCTTAACACTAAACACAGATCAAATGTTCGAAAGGTCATATTTGCAATTTCTCAGTATAACTAACTGAATATCACAACTCTTTTAGATTTTGCATAGGGTAATCGATATATTGATACAACAATGATGTAGTTTTTTTTTTGTCGATAATATGCTTTGATTTTCAAAAATAAGGGTGATTTAGGATAGAAAATCAGATCTAGTTTTTATTTTAAAAATGTTAAAATTAAAAATTCTTTATTGTTGTATGGTGTTTACAGAAATAAATTTAAATTATATAAACTATGGTATATTATTATAATAAATAAATTCTAAGTTATCCAAGAAAAATTACCGCAATACTAAAAGTAAAATAAATAGCTTTAAGCGCTATATCAAAAAAACATATCATAAAATATACTTAGTAGTATACTTAATTTTTCTGCTCAGAATCGTTTTCGTATACAATCAACGATACATCATTGAATTCAAATTAAACACATCCATAGGCCATGATAGTAACCCACTTGACACCTAATGTATAGCATTGGTACCACACATTTGAACTTTTTTTTATTATTATTTAATTTAATTTATGATTTCGTATTACCTAGAATTAGAAAATAATCGTGTAACACTATTTACAGTACGTCCAGGTAAGCTAAGCGAAAAAAGTACCCACAATATATAATTTCTGTATTTTGTTCGTTTTTGTAAAATGTTTTTATAGTTTTCATAAACCTTGACTTAACTTAATTAGTCATCTCGTTTATAACATCTATCTAAAAATGTTCTTCATCGTCTATTTCAAATTTATTAAATAAAATTATCCACGTGAATGGATAAAAGTTGTTTGATCATTCGACCGTGTTATTAAGCGTTGCCACATTTTTTCAGTAAAGTAACGCTCCAATTATTCAATTCTTCTGATTTCATTCATTATTTTTCTACTTTTTTCATTCCTTAAACAATGTAAATTTTTCTCGATTAATTGAATCTTAAATTTTATATGGAGTGTTTTTTTTTTTTTTTTTATGCCAAATTATTAATACGTTCAATTGTCAATAGTAACAAAATTATTATAATTAAGTTTTTAGTAACTCATATAAATAACGATTATCATTTTTTGTGAAATACTTTTTATTTATCACTATACAATTATTGTCTTTGATATTTTAAGTTAAATTAATTAAAATTATTACTTTATAGTATCCAAGAATATAATTGAAATTAATACACTTCAAAATATAAATAAAAATTATAATATTTTTTTAATATTTGGCCTTCAATTAAATATATTAATAACAATATATCATTCACATTGAACTATAAACAAAATAGGGTAATATGTTCAGATGTTGTTCACTGTGGATGATACAATCAAAAATGATCACCAAAAAAGAACCATGTAAACGTAATAATGTTTATAGAATGCTTTTCATGCATCACTTACATTTTTGACCAATTACGTTTTAAAAAAAAAAAATTTACATTTACATGTTTATTTTTTTAAATGAAAAAAATGAAAATAGATTTTTTATTTAATATTTCGAATTAAATTTTTTTTTTTTTTGAAAATTTTGATATGTAAAAA